CACCAGAAACTAGAAAAACTTCAGCAATTTGCATAAGTCCAATCTCAATCCGTTAAGCATCTGAAACACCCCCGAGGCCCCGGAACTTCAACCAAACATACCAACAAGTTCTAAAACACCATATGAACTTAGTAGAGCCCTCAAATCACATCAAACAACGTTAAAAAGACGAATCATCCTCCAATCCAAACTTAATGATCTTGAAACTTCAAATTTCTACAACCGATGCCGAAACCTATCAAACCACGTCCGACTGACCTCAAATTTTGCACACAATTCATATTCAACATTATGGACCTACTCCAACTTCTGAAATCGGAATCCGAACCCGATATAAAAAAGTCCACTTCCGGTCAAAATCTCCAAAAATTCGACTTTCGCCATTTCAAGCCTAAATCAACAACAGACTTCCAAAATAAAATCCAGACACGCCTCTAAGTCCAAAATCACCCAATGGAGCTAACAGAACCGACGGAACTCCATTCCGGAGTCGTCTTCATATAGTTCCGACTACGAACAAAATCCTAAGACTTAAGCTTCCATTTTAGGGACTAAGTGTCCGAAAACACTCCGAAACCAAAAATAAAACCTCCCGGCAAGTCATATAAGTAGAAAAAGATATGGGGGAAGCACTAAATAGAGGATCGGGGATATTATTCTCAAAACGACCGACCAAGTCGTTACAGCGGACGCTGTATAGCTATACCTCAAGTCTCCAAATGTGGTTGTGTCACGACCCAAAATCCCTCCGAAGGAGACGTTATGGCACCTAGTCTCTAAAACTAGGTAAGCCTAACACATACTAAAATAATGACAAGTTCTACTAACAGCTATTAAACATGAACCAAAAGTTTCTAAATAAACCAATCGTCTCAACATGATACAGTATCCCAAAACCGGTAATACAAGTCATAAGCCTTTCTAGGAGTAATTATACATAATGAATACATCACTGTTCCGAAACAAAAAGGAAACAATGGAAATAAGTACAATAGAAGGTGACTTCAGACCCTGCGAATGCCCAGCATGTGTACCTTGAAGTCTCTAAACCAAGTCCGTACCCAATAATCTGGCCTCGCCCGGCTCGAACCAAACCACTGGGGACCGACACCTCCTACCATATAGAGCCTCATACGGTGCCATCTGAATGCTGGACTGATAACTACTGTTGTAGACAAACTCTGCAAGGGGCAAGAACTGATCCCAAGAACCCCCAAACTCTATCACACACGCACAGAGCATTTCGAGAATCTGAATAGTGCGCTCGGACTATCCATCCGTCTGAGGGTAAAATGCCGTGCTCAACTCCACTCAAGTACCCAACTCATGCTGTACGGCTCTCTAGAACCATGATGTAAACTGCGTACCCTGGTTAGAGATGATAGATACCGACATGCCATGAAGTCTGACAATCTCACGGATATAAACTCGAGCCAGCTGCTCGGAAGAATAGGTAGTCATCATAGGAAGGAAGTGAGCTGACTTGGTCAGCCTAACCATAATCACATACTGCATCAAACTTCCGCTGAGTCCGTGGGAGTCTAACAACGAAATCCATAGTGATCCACTCCCATTTCCACTGCAAGATCTCTAACTTCTGAAGCAATCCACCTGGTCGCTGATGCTCATACTTCACCTGCTGGCAATTTAGGCACCGAGCAACATACTCCACTACGTCCTCCTTCATCCTCCTCCACGAGTAATGCTGCCTCAAGTTCTAATACATCTTCGCGGCACCCGGATGAATAGAGTACCGCGATCTACGAGCCTCCTGAAGAATCAACTCACGCAAACCATCAACATTAGTAGTCTGCCATGCATTCTAATGCACCATCATCTCCAATAGTGACCTCCTTAGCATCATCGTGCTGGACCATGTCCTTCAGGACAAGCAGATGGGGTTCATCATACTGACACTCCCTGATACGATCATAAAGAGAAGGCCGAGAGACCACACAAGCCAATACTCAACTAGTCTCAGAAATATCCAATCTCACAAAATGGCCGGCTAGGGCCTGAACATCCAACACCATGGGCCTATCCGCGGCTGGTAGATATGTTGAACTCCCCAAACTCTCTAACCGGCTACTCAAAGCATTGGCCACCACATTGGCCTTCCCAAGGTGGTACAAAATAGTGATATCATAATCCTTAAGCAGCTCTAACTACCTCCTCTAACGCAAATTAATATCTTTCTGCTTGAATATATGCTGCAAACTCCGGTGATCAGTGTAGATCTCACAAGGGATACCGTACAAATAATGCCTCCAAATCTTCAAGGCATGAACAATAGCTGCTAGCTCAAGGTCGTGGACAGGATTGTTCTTTTCATGCACCTTCAGCTGTCTGGACGGGTAGGCTATCACCCTACGGTCCTGCATCAACACCGCACCGAGGCCAACTCGCGGCGCATCACAATAAACTGCATAAGACCCCGAACCCGTAGGCAATATCAATACTCGGGCTGTAGTCAAAGCTGTCTTGAGCTTTTGAAAGCTCTTCTCACACTCCTCCGCCCACCTGTACGGAGCACCCTTCTGGGTCAGCATATTCATATATGTTGCAATAGATGAGAATCCCTCAATAAATCGATGGTAATAACTCGCCAAACCAAGAAAACTCCAAATCTCTGTAGCTAAGGACGGTCAACTCTGCACCGCTTCCACTTTCTTCGAATCCACTTTGATCCCTTCACTCTGTAGCTAGAAGTCTTTTTTGCTACTTATACTTTTATTGTATTTTTAATATTTTATTATTATTTCTATTCTAACTAGTATATATGGAGGTTTGGTGGCCGTAGGTTATGTTTTCTTGCTCCATAACTAGTTGTGTTACTGCTAATGGTATAGAGTGTACTGATATTTACAGGGAAGGAGATCAAGGTTTGGATGATAATTCACGTGTTGATTCTTAGAATCTGATTATGTAATTTATGGTGCTCAGCAGCAGTCAGCGTGATATTCAGTGAATTAGATGAAGTGACAACTAATATTATTTCATTTAATAATTGAATTTAAAAAATGAGAAAAAAGACAAAAGGTATATTAAGCTAGTTATATTAAAAAAAAGGTGAACACATATTTACTATATCAGTTATTTTTTCTTATTGTATATAAAAAAAAGAATTTTAAAAAATAGTGAAAACAACAAATGAAATTAGATTACGAAGAGAAAAGAATATAAAAAAAGAAGTTAAATGAACTTAGAAAAGGAAAAAAGAAAAAAATAAGAAGAAAGCGAAAAAAAAGGAGAAAAGGAAGAAATAAAGGAAAAAAAGAAAAAAAATATAGAAATAAAAAAGAATTGAAGAAAAAATAGAAAATTACCCACAAAAACTAGTGTGGTAGGAAATGTAATTAGGTTGATGGGTAGAAAAACAAATAGATAGGCAAAGATAAATAATTTTATTTTTTTGGGTAACTGTGTCATTCTCCCTTTACCTAAAGGGGTTTTGACACAGTTACCCACAAAAATAAAACTATTTATCCTTGTCTACCCATTTGTTTTTCTACCCATAAACTAATTATATTTCCTACCCATAGTAGTTTTTGTAGGGAATTTTTTCTTTATTCTCTAATTCTTTTTTATTTCTATGCTTCTTTTCTTTTCTTTTTTTCTTTTTTTTTTCTTTTCTCCTTTTCTTTTTTCTTGTTTTCTTCTTATTTATTTTTTATTTTTTCCTTTTTCTAATTTTATTTAACTTCTTTTTTTATATTTTTTTCTTCATAATCTAATTTCATTTACTGTTTTCACTATTTTTTTTTATTATTTTTTTTATATTATTACTAAAGAAAAATCAAATTGTGTACCAATTAAATGTAGCTAATACAATAAAAAAATATTAACTAACATATGATACCAGTATAGTATATAGATATACCAACAGGGTATACAATTGTACGCAAAGAGTTAAAAAAATTTAATTCAATTGTTAAACTAAAATAATATCAGTTGTCAATAAAGATTTCAAAAAGTTCTAAAAGTATCTAATTGTAAGAGTATACCATTACATTATATAGCATACTATAATTTTTTTTTTTTTTTTTTTGCAGTTTTAATTTGCCCCTTACGCTGGGTAAAAGCTTAATGCAAATTAAAAGGGAAAAGGCAAGTGAATTTACGGGTAATAAGTATACTATTATAGTATATTGTATACTATTAAAGCATACTGTTACAGTATATTGCATATTATAACAGTATACTATAACAATATATTGTATACTATAATAGTATATTGTTGCAGTATAACTATATACTCCTACAGTATACTGTTGGATGGAGTATAGCTATATACTCCTACAGCATATTGTATACCGTAGCAGTATACTATTGGGTAGCTGTGTTCTTCTTCGATTTTCAGCTGAAAATTTCGATCTCAATCACCTCAAATCAGCTCCAAATGCTATCAAATTTCAGTATGAACTTCCATAAGGTACTATAAGCAATATTTAACAGCACCCACTTTGAATCAAACAAGAAATCTTCAAAATAAAAATTTTAAATTCAAGAGCTTCAAGCCCAACAATAGTGAATATTCAAATACACATAAAAACTACTACATGGGAGTACTGGTTTTCTTCGAGTTCATACACAAACTTTCCCCTAATGATAATGGCCGCAAGTTTTAGACATAGGCTAAAAAAGTTCTTAAATTAAAGCAGGTCAAATAGCAGAGTAGTAAAAGTGAAGTTATTATAATAAAACTAAAAATAAGGTAAAGAATTCTATCTCTCTTGACAAAGAAACAGAGGGATTAAAAACTGGACACATTTGAAATTCAGGAGCCCTTTATTGCGGTTGGTGAGGCAGTGACAGTGCGAATAGAATAAATACCGGGTAAATAGTTTGGATCACATGAATAGGAAAAGTAAATAATTTAAGCATAGGCATTAAAGGGTAAATAGTTTGGAATCAACGAGTACAAAGGGAGATCTCTTACCTAAATCTAATATGGTGGGCCCAAGAAGCCCAACCCGGGTACGGCTTCTGAGCTATAAGAACATCATTGGGTGCATTTCTCAAACCCTAACGCTTCGCTTCATTTGTTCTGCGCAGCCAGGGTTTTAGCGAAGCTCTCTCGTCTTTCTTTTCGTCTTCTAAAGGTTAGATCTGTTCTATTTTTCTGCCTATTATTTATATATATATTCATACGAATGAATTGTATTCTAGTTTGTGTTTTGTCAGTGATTTGTTGAAAAACACAATCTAATTACCTCGTGAATTGATTTTTCTTATGTTTGAATTATGAGATTTATATGTTTCTCTTTACTAATTAATTGATATCATAACTTTGTCTTCCATTTTTTGATCTCGTCTATGTGGTATTGTCTTTTTGTTTATACTATATTTCAGCTGTTCTACTAATTTGGATGATTTTACTGTACATAATGCTATGTGAAGTTATAATTTGTTACAGCCTAGGCGCTCACCTTTTTTGGCTTCCCTAAAATAGAATATTTGGAAGTTGGTAAAGACCCGCCCCTTGTTTCAGTCAGAATGAGTCCCCGAGACCCCGGGACATTGGCTTCCGCCAACAGTGAATAAGATTTATTTTTTTATTTGTTAATTTGGTTTGATCTGCTACACATAGATTTAGATCTATTGATGGTGTTTTTTAAAGACGGATTTTTACACTTGGAAGTCAATTGAATAATAAATCTACGACTATTAGAAACTCTATAGACTCTGCTATATTTGGTATGATAGAAAATGTTTTCCTTTTTGTTCTTTGTTTGATGTTTGATTTGTAACTGAACTTCTTGCTAAGAATTTGTGAAAGGTTGATAATGGCTGATTGTTGGAAAGGAAAATCCTTTCCGTGATATTTGTTTCTTTCTAGTCTTCTAGAGATTATTTTGGTCTCCATGGTTATCAAAAATAATTCTTGGTTTTCTGTTCTTGTGATGATCTTCAGTTTCAAAGGAATCATGGGTAAAGAGAAGGTTCATATCAACATTGTGGTCATTGGCCACGTCGACTCTGGAAAGTCGACCACCACTGGTCACTTGATCTACAAGCTTGGTGGTATTGACAAGCGTGTTATTGAGAGGTTTGAGAAGGAAGCTGCTGAGATGAACAAGAGGTCATTCAAGTATGCCTGGGTGCTTGACAAGCTTAAGGCTGAACGCGAGCGTGGTATCACCATTGATATTGCCTTGTGGAAGTTTGAGACCACTAAGTACTACTGCACTGTGATTGATGCCCCCGGACACAGGGACTTTATCAAGAACATGATCACTGGTACTTCCCAGGCTGATTGTGCTGTTCTTATTATTGACTCAACCACTGGTGGTTTTGAAGCTGGTATTTCCAAGGATGGTCAGACCCGTGAGCACGCATTGCTTGCTTTCACTCTTGGTGTCAAGCAAATGATTTGCTGCTGCAACAAGGTTTGCTTTTTATCGTATAGTCGTATAGTTAATTATTATTTTTGAAAAGAAGCATGGCATGTTTTGCTAAATCTGTTGTTTTGTGCCTTGTGCAGATGGATGCTACCACACCCAAGTACTCCAAGNGCTAGGTATGATGAAATCGTGAGAGTTCTCACTCAGAGTGTACACCTGACAGATTCCATTTGTCCCCATCTCTGGGTTTTCAGGGGGGACAATATGATTGAGAGGTCTACCAACCTTGACTGGTACAAGGGGCCAACCCTCCTTGAGGCTCTTGACCAGATTAATGAGCCCAAGAGGCCCACAGACAAACCCCTACGTCTTCCACTTCAGGACGTTTACAAGATTGGTGGTATTGGTACCGTCCCTGTTGGTCGTGTTGAAACTGGTGTCCTCAAGCCTGGCATGCTTGTGACCTTTGGGCCTACTGGTCTGACAACTGAAGTCAAGTCTGTAGAGATGCACCACGAAGCTCTCCAGGAGGCACTCCCTGGTGACAATGTCGGGTTCAATGTTAAGAATGTTGCTGTTAAGGATCTCAAGCGTGGTTATGTTGCCTCAAACTCCAAGGATGACCCAGCCAAAGGGGCTGCCAGTTTCACCTCCCAGGTCATCATCATGAACCATCCTGGTCAGATCGGAAATGGATATGCACCAGTTCTCGACTGCCACACTTCCCACATTGCTGTCAAGTTTGCTGAGATCTTGACCAAGATTGACAGACGTTCTGGTAAGGAACTTGAGAAGGAACCTAAGTTCTTGAAGAATGGTGATGCTGGTATGGTTAAGATGATGCCGACCAAGCCTATGGTTGTTGAGACCTTCGCTGAGTACCCACCATTGGGTCGTTTTGCTGTGAGGGACATGCGTCAGACTGTTGCTGTTGGTGTCATCAAGAGTGTTGACAAGAAGGACCCAACTGGCGCCAAGGTCACCAAAGCTGCTCAGAAGAAGAAGTGAGGTTGTGGTTTTGATGGGATTCAGCTTGGATGAACTAGTTTTGTTTATTTGCATCAGTTTTTTCCAATTTTGTTTTGGACATTTAACCAGTGCTGGATGTGGCTCCGGAAGCTATTGTCATGGTTCTCTAGCCTCTTTTGAGGATAGTGGAGTAATTGAGCAATTTGGTCCAGAGCCAAATTGCTTGATGGGCAATGATAATAGCTCTTTGGTGGTTATTTCTTTGCCTTGGTTTTATATCACATTTTATGATGAGCTTTAGTCGGTGAATTACTGAAGTTGTTTAACTTAGTGAATTTTGAGCAGCTTTTCTTCGTATTATGTGGTGATTGTTTCCCTCTTTGAGGTCTGCAAGAATTGAGGTGTTGATTCATCTGAAGGGGCAATCTCTTATTACCGTGGTGATGTGCCCTGCTTTACTCTGAAGGAGTAGAACTAGTGTGATCTTTAAGCTTTACAAGATCAGAATTCATCTTGGGTGATATGAATTTCAGCTGCTCTCGTTATTTCTGTAACATATTTCAGCTTCTAAAGGGATATGGAACTTCGCAGAAGTGAATTTTAGCAATTGATTTTTGCAGGAATGAGTTAATACATGATTTTACAGACTTAAAAAACATATACAATGACTTCTTTGGTTGGGCATTACAGTGTACGTTTGCGTGGCATAGATGGAGTAAATTACATTTTCTTTCCCCAAATCCAATTATCTTAACATGTTTTTCACCAAGGGGAATAAGGTACTGCAATGCACCATGTTTCTTCACTTTTTTCATTTTAAAAGTGAAGAAAGGACGACTTAGACAAAAAACCACGAGTTGTATAAGCTCAAGTAAGTTCTAAAAGCCTACTCCATTGCGAGCGACAACTACATACTCCCTTCATATTCTCTGTCCATAGAATATAGGCCCCAAAACAACTTGTGGATCTTAAAGATATCGATATGTAGGTCTCCTTCGACATATGTTAAACGCCCTCATGTGCTACTAGGCACTTAAACCGACTTTAATTACTGATCTACTACTATCATTTGTATTTCTATGGGGACTTCGAAGGTGATCACTTATGAGCAGGATTTTTATCTAGCTATGCTATGATATAAACCTATTTACTATCTTTATTTAAGTTCCTTATTAATTACTTTATATACCTATACTTGCTAATTTTATACAAAACCATAAAAAGGAGGAAATGAAACATACCTTAAATACTGGGTATCAGTTACACATAATCCCCCTACATTTAAGACTCTTCCTTTTTCAAAGGATTACAAAATATCATCTCTCTTTGTACTTACCCACCGTAAGAAACCCACTGATACCCTAAATCATCACCTCTCTTTCATACGAATCAACCAATATCTCTCTCTCTCCCTCATACAAATCAAACTATTATCTCTCTAAAATTGTAGCATCATATATTTCGCTGAATGAATTCCACCAACAACCATTAAAAAGCTTCAACTGTTGACAAATCCATCAACATTATCTCTGAAATTGTAGGTGGAGGGATCTGCCCTTGACATACTATTAGAAAGGTTCGAAGCTTTGAATTAGTATTCAGATTTTACGAATTGTGATTTTTTTGGATTGTGTCCTTGAAAACGATTGAAAATATCCTTTAGAGTTTATCTCAATTTTAAGGGAGATGTTAAGTTTAAAGTTGGTTTTAGGTTGAATTTCTGATTGGAACTTGAGGAAGAAGAAGTTTCGGAATTGTATTACGATTGTATGATAAATGTATCATAGTTTTATCAGAGTTGTATTTGATACGTCAATACCTAAGACAATTCTGATACTATACTAATACTATTAAAATACAATATTGTATCATAATTTAAGTTTAAAGTTGGTTCTAGGTGGATGTTTTAAATTGAAACTTGAAAAAGATGAAGATCAAAGTTGTATCATAATCTAGAATTGTATCATAATTGTATAGCAATTTGTACCTAAAACAATATGATACAATGCTAATACAAATATAATACGATATTGTATTAGTTTAAGTTTAGAATCGGTTTTAAGTTGTATCATATTTGTATCAGAATTGTGTAAGAATACTTTCGGGACTGTATCATATTTGTAATCTGAATAATGAGTAGTTGTGAGTTCATGACGAATTTTACAGTTTATATCACAAATATAGGATAATTATATATTAATTTATTAGTATTGTATCAGGTATTATATTGGATATTAATTTACCATCTACAAGTTAGATACAATTGTGATACAAGTATGATACAATTATGTTTTGCGCATTGATATATCTGATACAATTCAAATGCAATTATGATACAGTTATCATACAATCCCTGAATTTTTTTTCATTTTCAGTGTGTCTGGTCTCCCGACAAAAGAACGATGCAATTGATGATTTAATAATATAAAGTTGTCGCCAATGGTGGGAAGAGAGAAGATGGAGATTCTGGGTGTAGATTAAGGGATTTCGATGTAAAAAAAAAGGAGAGAGAAGAGGAAAGGGAAAAAAGGAAAGGATATAATTGAATCCCTTAATTGAAGGCAGTAATAATGAGATGAGAGCCTTTTAAGGAGATCTACACAATTTGTAAGAAAAACCTAGATACTTATTAAAAACTACAAAACATAGAGAATATTAGTAAATAAGTTTCTAATATAGTATAACTAGGTAAAAATCCCCTTCTGAGCATGAGTTCTAGCCCAATATAAATAATTCAAAGGAAAAAAAAAATCAAGAATACTTATAGGAATCAAACTATTTATCTTGATCTACCCATTAAGAATTCTATCCATTAAATATTTATAATAATTACATATTTAAGCTTTAAAAGGCTGAAAGTTGCACCCTATTTAAACGGGCAAACAAGGCCCTAAGGCGGCTAACTTGTTAAAGCTAAGACACGCTCAAGAAGCTACCAAAACCACATCACATCAGTTTGAAATGAACTTAAACTTCAGCTTCTAATTCTTACAAGCATTTACAACAAATTTTAATAATACTCATCCAAATCAAAATTCAAACAACTATATTAAGTTTTGTATTCCCAAACCCAAGCTTCAAATATTCTTTAATGGTGGACAATTTTTATTTTTCTTTAATTCTCAGCAACTATATCCGGATTATAACTACAATTTTAGCTTTGTACTATATAACCAGATGATTCAATAAATAGCAGTCGAAGTATATTATTGAAGTCAGTAGCATAACCAGGAATTTCACGAAGGGTGTTCAACCTTTGGATAAAAAAAAGGGCAGCCTGGTGCACTAAGCTCCCGCTATGTTCGGGGTCCGGGGAAGGATCGGACCACAAGGGTCTATATTGTACGCAATATTACCCTGCATTTCTACTTTTGGATAGGTAAATAAATTGTTTTTTCAATAAATGGGTGCACTGAAATTTTTAACATAAAATACACAATATTTAGCTAAATCATAAAAACACTTACAGAATTAACCTATGTATAAATCAAAATCAATATAAAGGAATCAACAAAAAAAATACTACTAGTGTAAGAACAATTCAAATATATTATTACAATTGTACTCTACGAGGTCTCATCTCTTGAATTGTTTTTATAACAGACTCATCAGAAATAGTAAGAAATACTTTTTTTTTTCTACGTATGGCACTATGCAACCTTCTAAAAATTCATCATCCATTCGATTTTGCAAGTTATTCTTGATAAACTTCATTGCAGAAAAAGTTCTTTCAACGGTTGCAGTGGCAATTGGCAGAAACAAAGCAAGTTTCACGAAGCAGAACACAAAAGGATAAGTAATATTCTTCTTTGTCTCAACTAGCTTTTTTGAAAGTTCACCAAGTCCACCTAAATTGGATGTATATGGTCAAAATCGAGGATCATGATTTCGAAATCTTAAATCAGGCTATGGGTCCGAGTCCGAGAGACTCAAAGTGGAGGTCAGATCCGGCTAAGGGACGCATACCTCGAGGAAGCTGATCGAAGGCCTGGCACGGCCTACATTGTGGGCTGCACGATCTCGAAGTCAATCAAGAAAGAGCGGGAATTTCTCAAGAGCACGTGGACCAGGCATAAATTAAAGGATAAGATTTGTACAAAATGGTACAGGTCCGTACTAGGTTGTTGTACACCTGTACCAATAGAATTCTTTATTACAATTAGGAATGTACTATATTGAGGTTTTCTCCTCCTATATAAAGGGGACCCCAATCATTTTTATAAGGATCATCTGATATTATTCTCTGCAATAGAACATTCTGCTTTGCCTTTCTTGTTTAACGTGCTCAACAATTATTCTTCAGATTTATTGTCTTTACTTTATTTACTTTATTGTTCTAAGCTGACCTCAAGGTCCCTGGGATAACCGAGCTCGAGGCCCCTATTACTCCAGCAGCACTAATTTGGTTCACATTTTCTTCTCACTTAAGCTTAATATTACTTGTGTAATCACTAGTATTAGAATATATCACATATCTTTAAAACCACAAATTATCTTTAATTGTTACTTATATTTTTCGAGGAAAACAGTTTGGCGCCGCCCACCGTGGGGCTAAAGATAATAGTGATTATTTTAGTGATAGTTTTTTGATAACACACGTTATTCTTCATACTTTTTCTTGTCAAAGATTTTTTGATATCAGGCCAAAATATGTCTAGCACACAAAACGCACCAGCTCATGACAACGAGGGACTCGGAGAAAACAGCGGTATAAGAGTTGGTGTACCACCCATAAACCTTGAGGGAATGCCAAATTTGGAGCTCGTTGATATCAGTTCAGATAACGCTCTAAACACGGACGCAGGCACAAACCCCGTGAGGAATGCACACAGAGAAGCCCGAGCCGGAGGCCAGGAAACGCGAGGAATGGAAGAAGGTGAGTCAGCTTCCAAGTGATATTCGAGATGCTGCAAGCTCAGCAAGTGACCATTGCTCAACTTCAGAGTCAAAATAGAACTCCAAACACCGCCGAACCAGTAGACGCCCGACATACGGAACCTGCGCCTGAAAGGCCCGATGAAAGTGGCTCGGGGACTGATTCCGCTATTATGAAAATGCTCGAAGAGCTGACCAAAAGAATCGAGTCCGGAGAAAAGAAAATTGAAAAAAATGACAAAAAGGTGGAGACATACAATTCAAGAGTCGACCAGATACCAGGAGCACCTCCGATTTTAAAAGGACTGGATTCCAAAAAGTTCATACAAAAACCTTTCCCCCCAAGTGCGGCTCCAATGCCTATTCCCAAGAAGTTTCGCATGCCCGATTTTTACCTAAATACAACGGAACAACTGACCCTAATGAGCATATTACTTCATACACTTGTGGAATCAAAGGAAATGATTTGAATGACGACGAAATCGAGTCAGTATTGTTGAAAAAGTTCGGGGAAACACTATCAAAAGGAGCTATGGTCTGGTATCACAACTTAGCTCCTAACTCCATTGACTCAATTGCTATGTTGGCGGATGCCTTCGTAAAAGCACACACTGGGGCCATAAAGGTGGCCACAAGAAAATCGGATGTCTTC